GGTTGTGCATTGAAAGTGCCTGAATAGATGTGAAGCAATGTGATCCATAGTCACGTTAGTCTATCAAAAAGTTGATTATATTTATTTTTATATAATCAATTTATATAGGCAATTTCACAAATTTCCCCAAAGGGCTTTACAATCCGTACAGCATACAACATCCTAAAACCTCTTCCAGGACAGACAGAAACTCAATGTATGTGTTCTGTAAAGAGGCCATTGACACTATAGATATAGACATAATAGTGAAATTACACTGTAATTATCTGTATTGTTGTTTCTGTTTACTCTTTTTTGAAGGGTTAGAAAAACAAACTATAAAAACTACAGTTCAAAACAGAAACAACAAATAAAACATGCAGGGTAAACTCCTCCAGGTTAATTCAAAATACACATCTTTAGATTAAAAAGAGTTGATGGAAAAAAGTAAAAAAACTCAACAAGTTGATTTAGTTAAATGTTAGCTATCCGTTCCCCTCTGATGAGCATCCACTAAACGTCCAAAGTCCAGTATGTGGACTCTTACCTTACAGTCCCATCTCCAGTTTTAATGAACACAAAGCAGCCACACAGCTGCAGCTCTCTCACAAAGTCACTGTTAGTTAGTAGATACATCATTACATCAATTAAATGCTTATAACAAACTGATAAAACACTTAATGCGTGTTAAAATCATATACATGTATAACGCTCCTACAGTTTGTATGCCACATGGTCCTACAACGCACTCCAGCAGGCAAATGGCGGAACAATATAAAGTTTCATTTAGTCAAGAAAGCCGCCTTTTTCCCCTCACAGGTAACCTCCCGGTGATGGTAGCTAGTGCTTCAAATGCAAAATATGAACTACTTACTCACCAAATCACCAGAACGGCAATCCCGGCACAACCCAGAGCTCCTTATTTGTCCAACAACGCGGCGTTCAACAGTTAAAGGTGAAGTTTTGGTGTTGAAACCCAGAACCGGACCCGGACACCTCTCCCACCGTGTTCTGTTGCCGTCCGCGGTTTCCATGGGAACCAAAAGGACGCTTTGCAGTGGGCACGCTCCCAGGCGCGCTCCCGCCGCAGTGTCACACCAAACAACAGTGGTGGGGGGGTTTAGTGGTAACAGTAGTAAGATGGTCAGTGGTGAAAGAAGTATTGTCTCAGGATAACCACAGTGTCATAAAACGTCCTGCATTCAAACAGGATCAGAAAAATGTACTTAAAGCATCAAAAGCAGTTATTATATAGCATAGTGACTTATTTCATTGTTATATAAGTGTATATACTTAATTTATAGTCTTATATTTTGTAATATTTTATTTTGTGATATCTTGTTGTACCTCCACTTCTGTACTCTCTTTAATTTCTCCTAAGGGGGATCAATAATATAATATCTTATCTTATATATTATATTATAGGATTATTATAACGTGATGCATTTACATCTAAGCAACATTTCAGTTTCAGTAGCAGGTCGAGATGGGGTCAGTTCTAACTTTAAATAACTTGTTCGGTGGTTTAATCAATAAAAATGTGTATTTTACAAGCTCATTGTGTGTGTGTGAATCTGAAAAGTAACTAGTGACTATACATTTCAAAATGAAATGTAGTGAATTAAAAAGTACAAAATTTTTCTCTGAGGTGTAGTGACACTGAAGTATAAAGTAGCATAAAATGGAAACACTCAAGTAAAGTTTATCTGGTACAGGTATCTGAAAATGTATACTTTATAGTACTATAGTAATTCCACCACTGCAAAAAGCCTAGTGAGGGCTATTTTCAGCTCTATTAATGCATCATTGTTGTCATGTTGTACATCAAGTGTCTGTAACACCTTATACTATACCACACTGCAGTGACTTTATAACTAAATATGATAACAGATGACACTTGCTGTAAATATAGTACACAATCTACTCAATGTCAATTCTCATGTGACATGCCAGTACCTTTAAGACTGCACATAAGCACAATAATTTTAAGTAAATTAATTTCAGTTACTTTCAATCTGTGAGAAGAACTGTATAACTTTGTAACATATATCTGCCTCAGTCATAAACTGCAGGTCAAATACTGAGCTTTGGCACCTTCTTTAAAAATGAAATCTTATTCACATAAATCAGTATTTCTCAACAGATAAATACATTCCCTACAGGGCTAGCTTTGTATAAAACAAAAGACTGATAAAATTGAATGCACAAAGCTAAATATATTTATTTTTTTCTACAAAAAATCCGAACATTGTCATGCTTTGTCAAATGTAGATAAATAAAATAACTCCAGGACTCACAGGAGAAAGAGAGATAATGCAGCAACATTACCAGACCAGAAAAGTGGCACTCATGTGTGTAATGTGTGGTTTGTACTGTGTGGCATAAATACTAGAAACATGTCCAGGGACATTTTATAAAAAGGAAAGTTAAACTGAGTTATTATTGAACAAATCTCACAATGAAAGCCCTTGTTTTCAAAGTTAGGTGGCCAAAAATGTGTTATTGTACACTCATGGTAGAAGACAACAATCTTCCAGTGAGACATTTTCTGTCACACTTTGTTTAAATGAATGAAACCATTGCATTATGAACATGTCCATCTGACAAGCTCAACACGCTGCAATTCAACACCGTCTACATATGTTTTGAGTTTACTGACAAAAGAGCATATAAAGGCAAGTGTACAAACACTCAACAACCACATTTTTTTGGGTCCAATACACTTGGACTTCAGGTTATTAAATGCCTCGTGGTCACCTGATCAAGTGAGAGGTTAACCAGTATATAATGATTGGCTGAAAGATTGCAGTAGCCATAGTGATATAAAGGCGGAGCTGAGGTTTGGCACTTGATCCAGTTCCCATGGAGTCAGATGAGAGAGATGTTAGGATCTTTATCTTCAGAGATCGAACCTGTGAAGAGAGAGAAACATTTTTAAACCTGCAATTCAGGCTAAAACTAATAATATGCAAGCTATAAAGCAGACTTGATTAGAGGAAAAGTTCAATATATTCTTATATAATATACATAATACATAATAATGACCACATGATAATGCTGAATAATGCTAAAAGCTGATGTATTTAGATGTTACATTAGACATCAGTGTATTTATCACACTTAGTGGTTGCAACGTAAAGCCTAAACCAGATGGTTTACACAACTATTATATTATAGGTATTTATATACTATTATATTTTATATACAGATATTGATTTAATGTTTGTGTCTATTAGACAGAATACATAAAGAAAAGAGACAGCAGTTTGTTTCTTAATTATTCTCTATTTAAACACTCTGGGAAAGAAGATTTAAAAAAAAAAAAGAACGAACATGAATATGTAAATATTTGACCTACTTGTGAACTATAATTAATCATAATTACAAAGGCAATTATATCTAAACTAAAAATATGCCACATGAAAGAAACAAAACACTGCTGTGGATAGCAAATTCATAGTTTTGAGGTGAGAATTATGATTGTGTGGTTTTAAATAACAGTAAATAAATTACAGTTTTGCCAATTGGTAGGTTGAATATTTTGACACAGAAAACTTCCAAGCACACAATTTTGTTCATAAATCATAAATATTCAGTTAATGGTGCAATAATCTCACTCTGGTTCAGACTGAGCAGAAATTCATCAAATTGATTTAGTTTTCTGTTTGAGAACAACATTTCTCCAGTTCTTCAGATTTAGAAATATCGTGGATGATAATAAGGATTCAATATACTTACAATGAAGAACATAAGGGCACAAGAGGACCAGGCTAGGGCCACATAATAACCATCACTGCCAAACAGTAAGCCACACAACACTGTGAAGATCATCCTAGAAGAGAGGCATGAAATATATATATATTTATAATGCCCCAAACTACTTCAACATGAATGTATAATGCAGTTAACACGGACAAGTCTCCACTGAGCTGAATCAGAACCAATTCATCTACATCTGTGATTTTAGCAGTTAATCGGTTTATTTTTAATACCTAAAACGTTTGGTCTAAAACTAATTGTGACAATGATATATATATGCATCTTGAGTATAATGTGATATTTACCCAACATATTTGTATCCACTGTACGCAATAAGATCGAAAGTCGAGAGGTCGCTGTGTACAGTCAGCAGGTACAAGCTCAACAACATCACCAAGACCTCGATGATGACCCACACGAGGGCAGTGCTGGCACACAGTCCAAGGACCTCTGGACTGAACCTTCACACAGAGACAACAAACACACTCCTTATTTAACTCATTTGATACAAACGCCTCAGTAGTGGTTACTGAGAGTCCTAGAACACATTTGATGACTCACCTTTTCTGAATGCCGAGGGCAATTCCAGCAAGTAAAATGTAGGTGATGAAAGCCATTGCTAGAAGACAAAACATACACGTATTACATTACACAGGCATCCCAAAACGCTCTGCTATTGATCATTTTGTATTTATAGAAAACTTACTTGGTATGTAAAGATCAGGTGCATTCACATCCTGTCGTGGGGTCAGTGGAGTGTCCCGATGGTAACGGACTTCCCAATCCTACCAGGAACACACACATACACATATGTATATGCAAATGATCCTCTCTTTTCACCGTAAGGGTCTACTAAATAAACAACTATGTTTACAATAAACAAAAACACTGTTTATACAAACGCTTTATGAAAGTTAATTTAAATTTCATTGAAAAAGGCTCAATATATGATACCCTATGAGTAAGAATGAAGAAAATAGTATGTATAACATTACACTTCAAATAACCTGTTGTGGGACATATGTCTTCTTTCATATGGCTTTTATTTTGTTAAAAAGTTTGTTGCCCTTCATATACATATTTGTGTTACTGTCAACAAGTTCCAGGAAAAGACCAAAACCAACAACACATTAGTATGTCTGTCTATATTTTCCAACTTCTGTATCCTCTTTGTGTACCCAGAAGCCCATCTGTTCCAAATCAAGGTGTAAATGTTTTTTTGTTTTTTTTTGTTTTTTAAAAAAAGGTCACAAATGTATATTTTACACTTTTTAAAATAGTATACAAAAGCCAAGCACTGTAGTTTTTAACAAAGTTTTTTTAGGAGTAGCCTAAAGGGAGCTATATCTGAACTTTATTATACAACTCTACGTTGTAAATGACAATAAAATAAGCATGAAGCAACATATTACCCAGTGCAACAGTGTGGCTCACTAGTGTGTTTTTAAATAGTTTATGAGAACAGAGGACATCTATGGCACAAAGGAAGAAGTTATATCATACTTCACAGAAAATACTTACTACTACTAAAAAGATCAATTTATTGTTGTTTTTTTCATAGTGCATGTTGACAAAAAGAAACACCAGACTTAAACTTCAGCTATGAGGTACTTTATGTAGACTAAACATTACAAACACCGTAATGGTTGTAAATAATATGTAGTAGTACATACAGTAGTATAACAGTAAATACTATGTGACTCTAGTCCAGTAAGGAGAGTTTGCACTTTGTATAGTTCGTCCATTATCAGGGCACAGAATGTTTGGAGTGGCGACTTAATTTGCAATCTGAAAAAAGTGCATGGGAATTAACTGACCTCAATGTGTTTTATATGTGCACAGGCAATCACTGCATTATGATGTTCATAAATAAAGCTGGAGTAGTGATTAAGTGGCTGATTATCTTGTTTGCATGGTTTCAGTGTGATAAATGGTTGAAAATATGATAACAGTTTTATTATCATGCAGTTTTTAACTATTAAATGTTTTGTGTTGTCGCGTACGCTCATGCAGGACAAAGTCTGATGGGATGAAAGGTTCTGATTACCTGATGTGTGTAAGGGAACATCAAGATCATGAGTTTCTTCAATACATATCTGGTGTCGACAGCAAAGAAGTATTTCAGCTTGTTCACAGACACGTATCTGCTGATCTGAAAGACAAAGGAATTACAAACATTAACTTAACAGATGAGGAGTGACAAAGTAAATAATACATCTGAGTCATAGTCATTTTAAAGAAGGCTGCGTCTGCCCTCAGGATCCTTTTCTGGCTTCACACCCATTCTACATACTTTTAATCACCTGCATATTAAAGTTGTCAATCCAGAAGATCCAATTACACTTTCTTTATTCATGGGTGAGGAACTTCTTCAACTGTTTTATATTAGAAATCAAGAACAGAAAATGGTCTGCTTGAGTAAAAAACCTTTTCAATAAAAATAAGACTCCTTAGACATTAAATTTTCAATATTGAAAAGTCTCTGGATGTAACAAATATAAGGCAAATAAGCACTGGAGAGTAGCTGAAAAAGTATTAGACTGGTCCTGGAGAGTGACCATGTCAATGAAAGAACACATCTGTGTGGTTCGCTATGTTGAGAATCTTGAAATAATGAACTTGTGAAAGCGAGACTCACTTTTTGGGGCAAAACATGTAATAAAATGAAAAAACATTTTTATTGAGGAAACTATTTGTTTGTTCACAGTGAATTGCTGTACTGATGTTTAGAGCTATTATCTTTTCTCATATATTAAGAGTTGGGCTGTGTCTAAGTCAATGTGTGTGGGGTGTATTTAAACTGTGACTATGACACACTGCAGATAAATAGTGGTGCCAACTGCTCAACCTAGGCCTTGACCTTATTCATAGGTAAGTTGGTTAACACCCTGTCCTCTCATTAAAACACATACAGAACCAGCTTTTCCTCACCTCTTTGTTTACAATATCCTTTCCTTGGTTGGCTAATGAGGAGCCGTACATCATTGCAGCATTAGCCATTGGGTCGGCAAACAGGTTGTCCACCCCGGTACCTCCTTGCATGTCATTTGTGGGCGCTCCCATATTGTACCCAGGAGTGTAGTATGCTTGATTGTTCATTGCTGGTGCTGCAGAGCTGGTGTCTTCAAACAGGACAGAATCTGCTGTGGGGGGAGCTGCACGAGCTCTCGGTTTAGCTGTGGAAAAGATGGACACAACAAAGTAAATGGATGCACTTTAATTTATATTAACAAATATATATATATATAAAAAAAAGAACTTATTATGCACAATAACAATTAACATAGACTGAAATCCACCCCAATTTGTTGACACATTAATACTATATTACTTAAGACATTCCATATCAAGTATTTCCCTGAGCAAGAGAGAAACAATGCTGTTTGTTGAGCTTTTGTAGGACTGTTATTTAATTTCACTCAGGTACTCCAAATATGTGCCCATGTCCATTGTTAAAATTATTATAGGAGTGATTGTCAAAGTCCTCCAGGTTTTATACTAAACTGCAAGTTTATCAGGTTCCCTAGCTAAAACTAACGCAGTGTAAAAAAGCTCAGCAATAAATCCTACCTTCACAAATATATATATGAATCACTTTCTGTTTTTGTTCACAATATTTGGGAGAGGTGTTGATTCAACTTCCTTTTGGAGGCTGTAGTTTGTGGTGCTGTTGAATTGTACTGCATTATACTGACAGCTGTTTCTAATATCGTGTCCACCCCACCTATCCATTAGGGCTGACATTACAAACCTCATGCAGGTACAGGTATATCAGACTACGTCAGTTTCATAGAGGTGTAAGTAAACACGTGTCATATGACAAGTATGTCTTGTGCATCTCGCCTTCCTAAGAAATGAGGAAGTATGTATGGGTGGATATTCTGCAACTGACGGTAACTTGGTGAATCCACTCACTTGCTCGGTACCCATGATGTGGCAGGTCCATCGTGAGGTTGGTTGACGTTAGCTGCATTAAAAACAATGACACGTTAGCACAATCTCATCTCATTTAACGCTCAATCACCAAGAATGAACCGCGGCCAGCGAGCTAAATCAAGCAGTGTGCGGTTATACCACAGTTTAACACCAAGAGCATTACATTACGTGACTTTGTTGGAACACTTTAATACTAACACATGCTAGCTAACCTCACGTAAAGCAAACTTACAGTAACCGCTAGTTGATGCTAGCTACCTTAGCAAGGCGAGCTAACTTCATAACAGCATGTTTTCAACTAATACTCGGCGGAACCGCGCGGGTGGAGACAGCACATGAACAGCAGCACTTTTAAACTGTCACACACAACTTGTCTGAAGGATAACGGTGTGATAATGAAGGGAGAGAAGCAGCATGAGAGCACTTACCTACACAGCTAACGTTGTTATATAGCTACGTGGCTATCAGGGTGCTCGGTGTGATCCCTCCCATCCACCGTGGTTGGATCACTGCACGGTGCCTGCGTGGCACTAAACGACGGTACAACACGTAGTACACACGGTGCTGCTCGGTGCTGCTCGGTACCGTGTGTGTGAAGGTTACCGTGCTTCCTATCTCCTACCTTTGTTCAACTGTTTGTGGGGATAGTACAGTAGGTGACATGCTGTAACTTTAGCATAAATAACACATAATGTCGCTCGTTGTATTAGAAATATTAAAAACAAGATGTACACACTTGTTTTAAAATACGCAGGTACACTTGATTTACTTTATATTTACATTAACTCTGACGTTTCACTTTAAAAATAAGGTTTTTGCATTCAAATAATGTTACAGAGAGAATTATAGATTAAAGGCTAAGGTGCAAGACCACATAGACCTCTTATACTCATTACAGGTTAGGGTTAGTTCATCAGGTCAAAGCACTTTTTACTTATCTAAGTAAGTAATCAGGTACATTTACTAAAGTAGTCTACTTATGTCCAGTTGAGGTATTTTACTTGACTAATTTCCTTTTGAGCAACTCTATACTATATTCAAGGTAAATATTATACTTTTTACTCTTTTTCTATTTATCCCATTTAGTTGAAGTTACCAGCTACATTGCAGATAAAGATTTAATATATAAAAACATTATAGTGTTCTTAAAACTACTTATGTGGTTTAATTTAGCTCCATCTGGACCAGCTGCAGAGCTGCTTTTACTCTTGCTACTTAAGAACATTTGATTGCTGAAACTAAAACATTTTTACTTAAAATGTTTAATTCAGAACTTCTGCTTTAACTACTATATTGATGTATTGATACTTTAATAATCTGTACTTTTACCATCTCTATTATCATGAAATGTGCTTCAGAATGAGTACTATTACCTCAGTACATTTTACTGCTAATACATCTACACTACTATACTAAATTAAATGAGAAGCTGACTGAAATTATAATTGTATTATATAATATCTTCCACACTATTTAGGAGTTATCATTAATCGATATTATGACTAGACAAACGTACAGTATGTCAACAGTACCAGGACAATCTGAACTGTCTTGGTACATGTAGGCATATTTAAGAACTGCACTCACAATAAGATTGTACTTAAGCATGAAATAACAAGGTGTGAATAGTAACACCCACTACACCAATTACATGTAAGTGTGGCATGAGGATGCTGCTTGATGCACGTGTGTGTGGGGGCGGGTGGGTGGCTGTGGATGAGTTATGTGAATACATGTGGAGATTGGTGAGTAAATGCCAATGGAATCTAAACTTCCTCCTTCCTCAAAAACCCCCAGAATTTCTTTTTTACTTTTGGAGGGAAAATGTGGAGTAAAACAGAAACTTACTCACACTGTCACGTGCAAATATACATAGAAAAATATTTTTTTTATTCATCAAAATGGGCGTGTCTGTTGAACAGACCTTTCCTTCTCGAATAAAATATGAAAGAAACATCCAGTGAATCAATAAAGGCATAATCAGGGAAAAAAAGGTATCCAACATGTTATGACATGTCACAATTAGAGACGCAACAAATGTGTCATCCTCACATTCTTGATGCTTGAGTAATCTGACGCTCACCTTTACCCTATATTCCCTTCATGTGATACTATTAACCACACACAAAAAAACATCCAGCGTGTGTGTCCTCATTACTGCAGGGTGTAATATTGTTAACATCTGAAATATGAGACTCAGCAGCCAAATAAGGCAATGAGCAACAGGTATTGTTAAATGTCATGCTCCTGGCAGTTTCACTTTTTGTTCGCTGTCTCTATTCTCATTCATAAGTTATGAGACCAAAACCCACAGTTCAATGTCTCAATTTCTATATAGATGAGTATCATCAATTTATCTCTTTTTCTCCTCACAAAAACAGACTTTTTTTGTCTTTGCATTTAACTTTAGTGATTCTTTCAAAAAATTGACATTCCTTATTCCTAAGAGAAGAATTAGCAGTAATGTGAGACGTTGGTTCAACAGTCAGCAGCTAGGAGAAATAAGCCTTTGCCGGGAACTCTGTCCTTTGGGATTGCAAGGTCAGCAGCTGTTGTGTCAGACTAAGCTTACCAAATCTACAGCATGCGTTTTTTGAAACTGTACTAGGTACTATATTGTGCTGTCAAGTAAAAAATATCGTTGAAAGGTATGGTGAAATAATCAAGTGGCTTTGTGGCAATCTACTGACTCATCTCCACAGGCATGTGCACATTGATGTGGTTTGTCAAGTGAGAGTGACTGCAAAAAACCTCAGCACAATTAGGCACATGGATCCAGATTTACCCACACTGTATAATATATTTTATAACCCATCCAATACTATACATGCAACCTTGAAATTCAGTCATATTTAAGATATCAGTAGCATTTTTGGGCTTTCTTCTGTTTCTCTTATTATAAGATTACTAAGATTTATTAGATCTGACAACTGGAAAGGTGAAATGTTGCATTTTACTCTTTTTATGTAAAAGTGTTTGTACTAAGGTTGTCAAAAGCATCGATACTTAAATACTTTTCAATAACACTTGTTTAGATCCAATTCAGTAGTTCAATGGTATCGAAAGTACCGAAGCTATATAAAAAAACCCAGATGTACAATCACATTTTCAACCCAAGGCTACAAAGATGAATAAACTAGTCCTTATTATCTTTTTATCTATAATTTTTTATGATCACATTTTTTCTGGGGCTTTTTTGGCCTTTAAATGATAGTGACAGCTGAAGTGTGACAGGAAGGGTGGGGATGACACACAGCAAAGGGCCACGGTTCAGACTTAAACCCATGGCCGCTGCAGCAAGGACTCCGCCTTGGTACTTGGGGTGCCAGCTCTACCAGGTGAACTGTCAGGGCGCCCTGCTTTTGTACATCTTAACTACTTAAAACTAACTTTCATGTTAAGTATTATATTTGAAAGGTAGTACTCTTTAAACTGTAGTTGACACCAGTCACTTAATACAAATGCTTTAATAATTTCAAGATGTTTATAAGTTAAGAAAAGGATCTGATAATGAAAACTTGAAATTTAAAGTTGACTTAACTTAAACTATTTAATACTATAATATAATAATTTACATTAAGGTAATGATAAAAGATTATTTCATTTCATTGAACTTTTAGCCACAGTTAAAATTACATTTATTACTAACTAAATAAAAATGTTAAGGTATTGTAAATGCAAAACTGTATTACATATGTAGTGATAAAAACATTATTTTTGTAATTTTATACATTTTTAACAGTGACAAATTATCTCCACTCACCTTTTTAAAACTAGTCTATTATCATGTGGAATGATCACATAAAACAGTGTCCTCATCTAAACAGAAAATATTAAAATTAAGTTCAATTTGAATATTTCTTTGCTTTACTTCCACTTCCACTGGAGGAGGAAAATGTTCTAACATTTCAACCACTGCATCAGACTCACCGAGCAGAAAAACAACACGTACCGACGGAGAGGTGAGGCGAGGAATCCCGGGTGTTAACCCTCAGGAGGAAACTCTCACCAAATATGGGCAATGACGTCAGCGCGTCGTAGGTTCGTGAGAGATTCCAGACAACAGTACTTCCAGTAACTGCGGAGGGGCGTGGTGGACCTATAGTGCCAGTTTAAGAGTTTACAACCTCACAATCATTCCCAGACGTTGGCTTCTGGATGTATGACTAAGGACAAGAGGTTGTACTAAAAGTCGCTTTCGGACATTTTAGCCCGATTTGAAAAAAAGCGAGGCGTTATTTTCTTCCTTGTTCCCCCCTTGAAGACGTACTCGTTTGGACTCGACCGTTACCGCAATAAGGTGCGCTTACCCCAAGTTTAAATCGACACACGAGACTCAACCCGAAAGTCATTCCGCGAGACCTCAAGGCTCTACAGCCCCTGCTGGATCCAGTTTTATTTTCTTTTACACAGAAAAGGATGTATCGAAACTTTGGGAGTCAAGAGAGAGGCAACCCGGCGTACACCGGCGGTGTCTCTGGGTCACACTCTGCTACCCAGGGAAGCACCAGCACTTCAACTACACAACAGGAGCAGGTAGGGGAACTTTAATTAATGTACCTTTGTATAAGGCTACAGGTTATCCCACATAAATTGGTAAAATGTAAACTAAACGTAGGGGGAAAAGTTGTGAATTTCAATATACAATTTAATAAACCTGTAATAGTGTAAATATCATATTATCATAGATAATTGTTGTGTAGTTATACAAGTGATTATACTGTATGTGTCAGTTATAAAAGTTAAACTAAATATATATACATAATCATGATCTGTTTTACTTTACTTACTTTACATTTAGTCCTCAATGACTGTGTGGGTTTTGTTATCGATCACATGTTGGTTTTAGGTCTTCTGTTACAGTACTTTTCCTACTTTTTCTTACTTTATCCACATTTTATTTTGATTTTTTTCAGAAGTTTACAGTGGCTGGCAGTGGTCAGTTTGTACCAAGCCTCAATGCCATCACAACCAACCAGGACCTCCAGTGGCTAGTCCAGCCATCCCTCATGCATCCACCGGGCCCGTCACAATCTTCAATACCTCCTTACCCAACCCTCTCAGGGGCACGGCCGTTGGGTCCGCTATCCTCCCACTCCCATTATCTCAGACCGGGGGTCATAAGAACAGCTGCACACACCAGTGCTGCAACAAGGCACAGGAACGATGAACATGTAAGATAGTAGTCCTTAAACAACTGAAACTTTATGAAGATAATGCCAAAAAAAAACATCTTTGAAGAGACACTGATGATTGTGTGTTTGTTGGGTTTGGGGGATTGCAGATAGTGAGGTGTGGACAGTACCTCAATCATTTCTGTGTAAGCAGTGTGTAATATCCTGTAATGCTCTATGACACAGTCATTTCCTTTAGACTTACACATTACACAAATCCATTTAGAAATAGGGTAACATACCATTAATAAGAGACATTATTTAAAAACATTTTCAATTCTTAGGAAACTTTACTCACCGGGGGAAAACACACACTGTTTATGTTATTTGATGGTGTTTACTTGGAGTCTATGTTGACACAGTGAAATGATTACCTGTGACACACTGCAAAGATCTTTTTGTTAGCAGAGCAATGTTACATGTCAGGACAAGATAGCACAGATGTTGAAGTGACCCAGTACAACGCAGTTTCAACATTTAAGAACCATCATCATGTTCATCACCTCTACAGTGTCATTTGTTGGTTTCATCAGGCACATGTTGGCACATATCCCCGTTAAAGTTTTGTTCTTGGAGTTGTAAATTCATGATACAGGAAGTAGACTGTCATGTGACTCACAGGGGCAAGTCATATTCTGTGACTCACACCCGAGTCACTGCTGGGGTCTGAGCGTGAGTCATCAACCTGAAAGGGCGGGAAATATTGGATCAACAGTAATTATTTAGTAGGGCGCTGGATGAAGTCACAGTTAGTGTGTTACAAAGGCACAAAAGCTCAGACTAAATCATGCAGCTGCTCTGACTGTGATGACTCAGTGCACACACATGGTGGTAGTGTTTCTCATGTGTCATGTTGCTTATGGTGGACTCAACATGTCTACGTTTGATACGTTTTTGCCCAAAACCAAAAGGTTTCAGAATCCAACTTTAGGCATTAAATGGGGTTTAGAGTTTGACTCTTTCATTTCACTGTGTCAGGTTGACCTATTTTATGTATTTTAATCTTCTTTTCCCCTCTTTCTCATCAAAGTTATCCCGGGAAGAGATGGAGAGACGTAGAGTAAGAAGGGAGCGGAATAAACTGGCAGCAGCAAAATGTCGCAATCGCCGCCGGGAGCTGACAGACACATTGCAAAATGTGAGTGAGCATTGTACAAATGTCATAACATTAATGCTTCAAATATTGGTCTCCATCAGGCATGAAATAATTTACACATGTCTTGAATGTCTTTCTCTGCTTTCCCCTGGTGTAGGAGACCGAGCAGCTGGAGGATGAGAAGTCACGGTTACAGAAGGAAATAGCTGAACTACAAAAGGAGAGAGATAAGCTTGAGCTGGTCCTGGAGGCTCACCGTCCCATTTGTAAAATAGAGGAGTCTGATTCGGATTCTGACCCAAATCCAACCCATTCCTCCGTGGGAGGCATCAAAATGGAGCCAGGGGACTCCAGGAGACCTGGACCCTCAACCAAACTAACAACAAAGATGGAGAAGCCCAAACCAAAGATAACCATCCCCAGCAAGCCTGTGATATCGCCTGCCTCCGCTGTTGCCATTGAATCAGAGTCGCTCCACACCCCTGTTCTCCCATCTACCCCCTCACTCATGCCCTTCACAGCTAGCATGGTGTTCACCTATCCCTCAGCCCCGTTGGACACCGCCTCCATCACATCCCATGCTACATCACAGCAGGGAAACGTCCCACAGTCTCATGGCCCGCAGCCCTGTGGGGTTGCTCATCGCCGCAGCAGCAGCAGCGGTGACCAATCGGATCACTCCCTGCACTCCCCAACCATCCTCACTCTGTGATTGGCGGCCCCCGTCATCCTGGCATAACACTAATGTTAATTTCCATGCAGTCGTAGTGTGTGTGTGTGTGTGTGTGTGTGTGTGTGTGACAAACAGGATCTCTGGGAAACGTGACAAAATGAAAATGATGATTGTGATAACCATTTCAAAATTCGCTACGTGCCTCTGCTTCATTTAATTTATTTAGAAAGTTAATTTTGTACTTAGATGATATGCAATTAAATGGCATTACTAAGATATGAATGTTACACTCTTTTTAGTTTTGATATATATGTAAAATCTTAAAATTTCTCATTTTGAAAGCTATCAGGTAGAATGAGTATGTTTGAGATTTATTATGGAAACATTGCATGCAGAATATATTCTATGAAGAATTACTATACAAGATTTCTACAAATAAATCTAATAATATATTAATAGTGATAATTAATTAATAATAATGTTGCATTTAATGACTTGTTACAATGTTACGTCGTGTTATGTAACACTTTATAAATGTCCCCACAAAGGGAAATAGTACTTTTTCAAATAAATGGTCCTTATTTTTATATGACTCTTTTAAGAATCCTAATATTGTCTATGCAAATTATTGACCACTAAGGCTGGCCCGTAGGAGTTAATATAGATTATGGAATTAATGTATTTATTTTTGAGAGTGTAATATATTTTTGGTAATGTTTTCTGTTCTGGTGGGCAGTGCCTTACTTTTTTGTCAAAGCTGTACTACTTCACAGACAATAAAGAACGTTTCATAACTGTGTGATGGTGTAATATTATTGGTGAAAAACAAACAACAGGAGGAAATGATTAGACTGAAATGCAGATTAAAAACAACAGATTCAGTTGAGAAATATTTTGTAAAGTGAAAACTGAGATACCAGAATAACCCAAACTGGAGCATAAATACTGTAGGACTGAAATGGGTATTTGATTAGAAGATTAATCAGTAACTATTTTACTATTAATCAAGCAAAGAGAATTGAGTATTATCTGGGTTGCAGCTTCTCTATCTGTGTTTTATATCACTTTCTGTTAACTTTCTGTTTGGACAGTTGGGCGGAAAAAAACAAGCTATTTGGAGCCATAAGCTTTGACTCTCAAAAAATCACAAAGGGTATATTTCATTTCTTTGGACATTTAATAGATTAAACGATTGATCGACGAAATAAAGAGGATGTAATTACAAACAGCAGCCTTTCCCTGACACTCACTAAAAGGGTTTGATGACTGCAATGTTTACTGACAAACTAATGATGCGCTCTGTGCCCCTCAACTGTGAACACTGTGTTCTCTGTTACTCCATTTCCAAAAAATGAAGCAGATCTCTTGCTAATACATACATGGCTCAGAGGGCATTGGATTGCTCTGCTGAAATGGGGTTAGAGAGAGAAACAGAGATGGAACGAGAGTCAGATTGAGAGCTGGAGAGCACGAGGGAGGACAAAAATCTGTGTGTATGCTGCTGTCAAAGGACGTTTGTGCATCACTAAGTGGGTAAAAGCATTACTGCTCTCTTCAGCTCTCCAGACTGTGCAAATAGGGATCCAAAAATAAAACTGATGAACATCCATAAAGTCTGTCTGTATGACACGAAGGGAACATCAATCAAGTGCAGTCGGTTCCGACATGAAGGTCAAAACAACAAGTGCAGAAATCAATCCATCGTTCTGTGTCATGTAAATGTAAATGCTTGTTTCTGTAAAGTCGAACACACAAAGAAAGGTCAGAACAGCACAAAGTGTCATACCCACTGTATTTAAAGCTCTTCAATGCACTACGAGCATAGCCCACCAATAAACAGCTAACAACAAAATAAATCTTTTCTAATCCATGTGCATTATCTATGATTTAAACTGAAATTTGTTAGTAATGCAAGTTAATACAGATAAATCAAGATAAAGAAGGGTCAAAGTTAAGATTATCCCTAATGTTACAGGGTAAATACAAAGCATGAGTTACAGAAGACGAAGCTGATCAACTTAAACTCTGTGATATGCTAATTGAACATCAACAACAACAATGTTATAAAAAAAAAAGTAATACAAGTGAATTTAAACAGCTTGGTTTGAATAGAATAGAATAGAATAGAAATCATTCAAACTTGTAGACCTTCCAGTTTGATACAAAGAGTTTCCAGTTGGATTTTAAAAAAGTGACAGAACTTCAGTTCAGCTCTGAGTGAGGTCCAAGGACATCTATCACCTCTGATCCAAACCCCTTTAACAAGTGTGCTGGCTCTGCCCCGGCAATAGCACATGTACATTATGCACAGCAGCCCCACCCACAGTAAACCTGAAGGGCCTTCACAGCAGACTGGTTAACAGGCCTGTACAAATTGTGACAATCATCATGCACATATGGCACTCCAATCCTGTCCTGAGGAAGAGAGTGCATAATATATTACACATTATTGGGCATCTAGCAAAAAGCAAATATCAAATAGTTTAATATTTTTCTTTTATCACAACTCATCTATTTCAGTGCTATTGGAATTCAGTGGACTAAATATGGCTCAAAACTGGATTGAAATGAATCTTTAGATCTGTGATTTAAAGATCCATGATAACGCTGTCCAGTGCAATAGAAAAAAGGCTTCTACCAGTGTAGGCTAGTCCAGTGCATGAGATAAATTTATATATGTGACCCAGTTTTTTGGTCCCATTTTTTTTTTTTCAACAACAGACCACTGAAAAAGGAGAATTTCCCAAAAACAGAAGAGTCATTAGAAAAAACACTGTAAAATTTAGATACATTATCATCTGGCAAACATCTATTAAATGTCTTTGTAAAGTCCTGAAAATGTCTATGGTTGTAGAATCTTTGTCAAGTCAAAACCTAGTGGCACACAAAACCTTTGCAGCATTCAGAAGGCTCTAATGCTTTTGCACCAATTAAATTCGTATTGTCTGACAAAGCCTCTGTGTCTCCATTCTGTCAATCACATCACCCCTACTCTACAGGTTCCTTATTTGAACGGGAGAAGCCCTGACTGCGGACATTGAAGCTGTCATCAGTCATCAGGTGAGCACACCAGGTGAAGCTGGTCCGGGCTTCCCACGCTGCCTGTGCTTGAGCTTCCGTCCCCCAGATCCCGGACCACCATGCAGGGCAGGTTGAGCTCGGTGGACCCTCCGGGGCTGGAGTCGCTCCTGCTAACACACTCCTCCTCCAGGACCAGGCAAAGCTCCTTCAGGTCCAAATTCTCCTTCACCAGTCCGTCCTGCATGCGCTCCAGGTCTGCGAGCTTTTTCAAGTAACCGCCCAGGTCCTCCCGCATCACTTTGGCTGCGTGATGCCCGAACAGCTGCCATTCCCGCGCCAGCTTCTTCACTTTGAGCCGGTCGTCGTCCAGGAAGCAGCACAGGTCCCGCAGCTCCACGTTTTCCTCCTGCAGGCGCTGATTGATGACTTTCAGTTCCCTGATTTCAAGGAGGTGTCCCTGCAGCTGTTTATTTACCTCTTTTATCAGCCGTCCTCGCTGGATGAGAGCTGATATTTTATCCGTCTCCTCTTTACGCAGCCGGCTCACCAGCTCCTCTTTGGAGCATGCCAGCAAATCCTCGTCAGACATCTTTGACAGTTCTCTATTTATTATCTCACCTTCGCTTCCCATTTTCTATTAAAAAACCTAGACGTATAGAGGTACCTGAGAATCTATTAAAAGCGCTGAGATGTAGCTGGGTGCTTCAATGCTTAACACACAGTCATCACATCCTCGTCTTCTGCACCCAGTGTGTTCCAGATGTCATGTGTGCAAATCACGACAGCACCGGAGGCCAAATCATGGCAGAAACATGTGATATCTTTATTTAGATGGCTTTCTTCAAGAAGCAGGGACTTCGGTCTGATTTTGTGCTGAACCCAGTGGTTGCTCTCCGTGGATAATGCCTTAAGGAGGTCGTGTATGAAAATGCACCGCAGTTTCCCCGTTAATGTCAATCTGTCATCCTCTCAACAGCAGGCTGTGTTTTCCAAAGGCCTCCAAGAAAACATCTGTCCTTGTTTTACCTCCTCTCGCAGTATTCTGAAGGCAACAGTCGCCCTGGGGGCTTTTCTGTACTGTATGTACAAAGGCCCGATCGATCCACGGGGGTTTAATCCAGCAGCCTCGGATGCACACCCTGCAGATGTTGTGATTTTTACGTGGCTGGCATCGTCTCACCAGGCTGTGCTCCGCTCGCCTCGGCTGAATGAACTCCGTTCCCCGGTTGGCTGGAGGATGAGTCCGTACGGTGCAGCAGCTTTTTTTTTTTTAGATGTATTTATTTATTTCTAAAAAGGATTCATTCTTTAGATAAAAAACAAAATAAATCACAATCCAATCTCGCCCTCTATCCGCTCAAAATAAGTGCATCATCTCTGCTCATCCTCTTGGGCTGGACTGTTACCACAACAATGTCCGCCTCCGCCACTTTCACGGCTGTGACTCCGTTAAGCAGCGAGCTGCGTGTGAAGCTGAAGGAGGCTACTGCCAGAGGTAGTCTGTGCAGCCTTCAAAATAAAAGCATCGATTATGGGAATATTACTGCAAGAAGTGAGGCGGTAAATATGGCGAAAATATGTTTTGTGGGACTTTATTTTCACACAATATAAATTTATCACACGTTAGATTGGTGGCGTGTTACTTTTGTTTCAATGCAATCGTGTTCCTCAACAACACTGGTTTTATTTTGGGTGATTTTACCGGAAGTTGTACTTTTTATGACGACTGCTACTTTGACACGTCGGTGAGATTGTAATCAGGAATATTTGTGGTTTCCTCTGAGGTTTCCAGTGACTCTTTGCATACCATAGGCCTGCAGTACGTATGGGCTGGTCGTAAATGGCAAAACTGAATCGATCTGCTCAATGATCCAACTGAACCGATTCAGCTACATTTAAAAAAAAATATAAGATGTGAGGTTGACGATCTGCTCCATGCGCTCTCTCAGTTAGGGACTTGCGCCCCCATTTGGATTCAGAAACATATTTTTTACCCGTACCATGCCATGAAACCAAAACAACACGGATAAGCACAATTCACAAAGGAAATGAGTAGGAAAGGCCTGTGTGAAGCCACTTCCTCTGGGGTTTTCTGTTCATTGGAATGAACTCATCGTCACAAACTAAAGATATATGCCACATAGCCTACAAATATCTGTTCTATCCCCACACTTTTGCAAAACATGAGAAATACATCAATCGGCCCTATATGGCTTTGGGGTTCACTACAGAGGAAGATGTACAGTACAGGGTATAGTCGTATCATGAGTGGCTCCTGGCTGTACTCGTTTCTTTTCAAAGAACACTGGCGGAAAGTGTGACTGCAGGCTTTTTTCCATGGGTTTATGCTGAGGCATTCAGCCACATCCTTCCGCCCTCTGTCCCACCTCCATTGTTTCACTGAGGCCATAACAATGTAGGGTGTTAACCGTGTAAGGGGGAGCTGGGGATGGAATCAGGGTGTCATGTGGGGTTAGAAACGAGAGTGTTGATGTGCAGCGAGACATGCGACAAAAAGACATGTTGACTGAGTCTTTTTCCCTTATGTTGTGATTTTGAAGGACACATGCAGAAACACAGAAAGGGAGGGCGAGGACAGGGATTTGCAGGGATTTATTTAGATTAATCGCCGGAGGAAAAAGAGAGCAGATTGTGTACACGCAGCAAGCAAAGCACATAGGGGGCTGCGGTGCTCAGACAGAGGCCTATCTCTGATCGGACTCATTTTAAAATAGCTAAGAGCACAAATGAAAGGACATAGATCAACAATAGGCTACTGTCTGGCTGCTAAATGCACGGTTGTAATTTGAATATCCAGTTTTTCATTTGGCCATTGATGGTTTTCTAACTTAAAATGGATGGTATGCTGGTGTTGAGTGATAAGACCTAAAAGTAAAGCTATATATAGGTAGGTCCCAAGCATGGAGACTGTTATTGGGTTAATTATCCGGCCCTTATGATGTGAAGCCACTCAAGTGTAAGCCAACCCTGCTAGCAAGAAATACCAGGTACGTGGTGGGACTTGCCAATAGAATTAAATACAGGTAAATACTTTCTCACATTTGGCCCTGAGTGCAGTACAGCCGGTCGTTACAGGGTCTGGGCCCCATGTCAGCATGCTGCTATGTAAGCAATCCCTTCCTTTCAGCTTTAGGTTCGGGTGCATTTGTAAGTGGGGTGACAGGGGTAATAAAACAATCTGAGGTAAACCTGTGGCCTACATTTGTATCAGTTCTGCAAATGATGAAACTGGTTATCATGCTTTCCATAATAATGGAATTATAACAACGGAGGCTACTGTAGCCTGTCCCTAATTAAAACTCCAAACACTGCCTTATCTGCTTTATCTATCTCTGGTTGTTAATTGTGTATTATAATATAAAGTATAATTCATTGATCTTCGTTTAAACACATTCGAGATGGAACTGTGGCACGTTCTACACACAGTGGATCAGATAGGGTTAACACACGTCTGCTCCGACTCTACTGGAACTGGAACAGTTACATCAACAGTCACACACACACAACCATTGCTACATTGTTGCGATGATGGAACGTTGGAACGTTCAGCGTTACAGTGTAACGTATGAGGCAACACCAGGAAAAGGAATGGAACGCAGAAACATAAGAAGTGTGAACTCATCTGAGAATCTCTAACAGGACAGAAAAATACATTACCGGTGTGACTGTTTCAGAATAAAAGCATACTTTCTGAAAAGAACTACATCACAAAAAAACCCACATTTGTAGGAAACACACAATCCTACAAAACACTCTTACATTCTGAGCAACATGTGGTATTAATGATTTGTACACGGATGAAGGGTTTGGTTTACTACACACACATTGTCTTCTGTTACAGTCCACGAAATATACTGAATGTTAGAACATTATTATAATCTGTACTTAAACAATATAATAACATTTAATATAACACATATGATGCCCGTAAATAAAACAAAGTAAATAAGATACAAGATTTAAATTAGTTTTAAGTACAATAAATATGTCTTTTTTTTGTTCTGAGGAGACAGCTAATGTAAGAGAGCCTTTCCTGTGACGTAACAAAACCGGAAACTCGTGTTGCCTGACTGCTGTTGTTGACACTGCGCACCCTTAGCAATAAGCTACCATTTGGTGGATGTTCGTGTTTTAAAGAACGTGCGTTAATTAGTCGATTGTGTCGTCATATTAATTTGGTCTTAATTTGCTGTTTTGTTGTCTGGTTGTCAGGTTAGACTCCGCTAACCCTGCTAACTTTGAGCCGTAGCTAACATAGCAGGCTAGCTGTTAAATGGAGGAAGTTAGCTAATTAGGACGCCATGGAAAGAAAATCGAAGTTCAGCCATTAGAAGTCAACTGTATACTTGTCACGTCAGGTTTTATTGTAGCTTGTTTTTGAAACTGGTTGGGACAACACTCAAAAGCAAGGTATAACGTTACTCTGTCGGCACTTTTAAATGGCGTGGAGCTAATCTTATCTGATGTTAATGGCTACTTAAGATAAACAAATGTTGCTTTAACTTCTTTGCCTCCAATCAGATGGCAGTGGAGCTGGATGTGTTCGTGGGAAACACCACTATCATGGATGAGGAGGTTTACCAGCTCTGGTTGGATGGATACACAGGTACCGATCACACCATGGATTTATGGCTCTCCACACAATGTGCTCCAGGGGACTGTGGACATAGGGTTAGATGCTCAGTAGGAGTCCTGGATGGTTGGAGTTATTTTACAAAGGTGCACACTAATGTATTGGTGTTTGGTTAAAAATATAATACATGAATAAAAGTAATGAAAAAGATGGGAAATTAGGAAAAATGAACCAATCTGGCAACATCACTCTTTGGTTGTGAGGGTTATAATAGACATTGAGTACCTTTTTTAAAGGGTTACAAGCCTAAAGTTTGGGATCTGCTAATGCACTAAATGTCCGACAGCAATGGAAAACACATAATTAAGCCAATAATGAGAACACCCATATTGCAGCATTTACATCCACATCCTGCACATTTGTAGACGCCAGTGTGACGTATGATGGGGAAGCAGTTATCTGCTGCTGTGTATTCACACCACACCAGCAGCTTTGCTAATTGTTATTACACATAACTTCATCCATACTTGGATCACCAAGCTTGTCTGACTTATCCAACAGTGAATGATGCAGTGAAGGTACGGATGGAAGGAGGAGTGATGGAGGAGTGTGAGGCAAGTGCAGATGTTCTGCTGAGTGACACCATGGACCAGTACAGGACTTTCCAGATGTGTGAACGTCTGCTGCACAGTCCAGCCAAACTAGCCAACCAGCTACTGTTCCAGATCCCACCTCATCGACAAGCCATCCTCATAGAGAGGTGGAGTAATGATGTTCTCATTAATTCTCCTTCACTTATCTGATGTGTTGTCAGTGTCTGATTTGAATGAATATTACACTTATCTCATTGTCAACATTTAATCAAGGAAATGTTTTTACTCTCTTTAGCCCCTTTTACACTCAACAAAAAACCCAATAACATCTGACTTTTGCCTCCAGTGAAAAAGGGTAACAATCCGCTTTCATTCCTGGGTCAAATAAGTCAGTGGTAGTCACAGGTATTTATTGGCTCCAGCTCTGATTGGCAGTGATGGAAACATAACACCTGGGTGGACGCTCTAATTTTCACCCCTCTTCTGGCGCGATATTATGACGTGCGTTGAATATCTAGATTATTTATGTTTTTTTTTACAGTCTATGGGAACAACGTGAAACAGCGATTTTTGTTTTTGTTATTATTGTGCAACACAGCAAGGTGAGGGAGCTTCTCCTTATTTGAGGAGAAAAGGAAATAAGGAAACAGGTCACTTGCACTTTCTCCAGCGTTGACACAGCGCTGTTAAGATAGGTCTGGCTATGCAAGACTAATGGCACTGTGAGGAACAGTACAATATAGAACAACATATCAAAAATGCTGTGAGTAAAAGAGGCATTGCTTGCAGCCCAGGGCAAGTAACAAATGCTGCTTTCTACTGTTTACTAACCCTGTTTTCTGG